CTACATTCCAGTCATGGGATTCGTCCCACCAAGTTTCCGTAAGAGCAATCAGGTCGTAGCTTTCTAGCAGCATGATAGCTTCCAACTCCTCCTGTTTGTTTCCCATGCTGCATGCATGAACAGATCTATCTGCTTCACTGCTGTCAGTATTGGGAGGATAGTACTTGCCTAAGATTGCAGGGTTTGGCAGACTTTTGCTGGTTTTGCACTGTCTCTGTGATAATGTCTTCATCTTCTGTGAACAACCCCAGATCCCAACGACAGGATTAGCTGTGAACTCACTTTCCATGTGAGCCTTCCCCCCGTCTAATTTTTCTTTCCCTTTTCTTGGAAATACCTAGCTTTTGATAAATGCAGCAATCATGAGCATAATATGCCCTTTGGGCTTGCCACTCACTGTAGTTATATGGATTAATCAACATCTTTTCCTTTTGAACTTGATCATAGAAATGATTAAGCCCCCAGGGCTCAGTTCTAAGGCCGGTCTTGTTTAATATCTTTATCGATGACCTGGACGAGGGGATTGAGTGTGCCCTCAGTAAATTTGCAGATGACACCAAACTGGGTGGGAGTGTTGATCTGCTCGAGGGGAGGAGGGCTCTGCAGAGGGACCTGGACAGGCTGGATCGATGGGCTGAGGCCAACTGTATGAGGTTCAACAAGGCCAAGTGCCGGGTCCTGCACTTTGGTCACAACAACCCCATGCAGCGCTACAGGCTCATGGCATCCTGGCCTGTATCAGGAATAGTGTGACCAGCAGGAGTAGGGAAGTGATAGTGCCCCTGTACTCGGTGCTGGTGAGGCCATACCTTGAATACTGTGTTCAGTTTTGGGCCCCTCACTACAAGAAAGATGTTGCATTGCTGGAACATGTCCAGAGGAGAGCAACCAAGCTGGTGAGGGGTCTGGAACACAAGTCATATGAGGAGCAGCTGAGGGAACTGGGTTTGTTTAGTGTGGAGAAGAGGAGGCTGAGGGGAGACCTGATCACCCTCTACAACTACCTGAAAGGAGGCTGTAGTGAGGAGGGGGTCGGCCTCTTCTCCCTGGTAACAGATGATAGGACGAGGGGGAATGGTTTGAAGCTGCACCAGGGCAGATTTAGGCTAGACATTAGGAAAAACTTCTTCACCAAAAGGGTTGTCAGGCTCTGGAATGGGCTGCCCAGGGAGGTGGTCGAGTCCTCATCCCTGGAGGTATTTAACAGAAGGATAGATGAGGTGCTTAGGGACATGGTTTAGTGGTGGGATGTCAGGGTTAGGTTAAAGGTTGGACTTGATGATCTTAAAGGTCTTTTTCAACCAAAGCGATTCTATGATTCTATGATTCTAAGATGTATTCTTCATTAGTAAAATGTAGAATATGGCCTTTTAATGGGAAAGGTGAGTGAAAACATTTGTAGTTTATAAAGTTATACCTGACAGCATGGACACTTCTGTAATTCTAAGACTTTTACTTATAATATAATGTTATTTTTTGGTAATAGTTACTTCAATAACAATGCCTTGTTATGACACGAAAATTATTTCATCTGCAATATGAATCTGCAATATCATCTTCATTAAACTTTGCATAATGAGCCTGGGAGAGAGACACACAAAACACCTGAAGATAATGAATATTGGACTAAGTAAAATGTTCCAATGTTTTTTGTTCTACACAGGCTCTGGTCTCAATGATGGGCAGTGGCATGAAGTCCGATTCCTAGCTAAGGAAAATTTTGCTGTCCTCACCATCGATGGCGATGAAGCTTCAGCTGTTCGAACAAACAGCCCTCTACAAGTTAAGACTGGAGAGAAATATTTCTTTGGAGGTAAAAAGAAAAAACAAAATAAATATCTGCTTAAAGTGTTTTTGTCTTTTAATCTACAGGATGTAATTAATTCATGTAGATCTTAATATGGCCAAAATGGCTAGGTGCTGCTCATCAAAAAGTAAAATACTAAACTTAATTTCACTTTTAAGAATCTTTTTACACCTACTCATCTTCGCAAAAGAAACCCTGAGAAGTTCTGTTCAAGAATCAGTCTAACTTGCAATGATTTCTCAGATCATCTCTGAATATTTTAGAGACCATTCTCTGCAAGGGAAACTTTCCATTAGTAGTTTAATTAAGTGGCACTGAGAAGAGAGATAAACTTATCTTTTCAAGTTTGGAATCCTGAAAAAAAAAAAATATATCATTGTTCAGGACAGGTCTTAACCTTTTGCTGATTTCTTTAAGAGCTGTCATGACTGTGGGTAATTAAGAAGCTTTCATAAATTGGAACCTTAGATTGTTCAGTATTTTTTTCTGTTGACAGTCCATATACTAAAAAGTTCTTGCAAATTGTAGCTTGTATGTTTATTGCTCTTCTATGTTAGCATCTATGAAAATCAAAAAAGGCCATCAAAACTCTTCAATTTTAAATATTTAAATTTCTATATTAAAAAGCCTATTTAGTATGAAAAAATATTTTTAATACAGTACTATCTTATAGGCTAAGTTCATCAAGGCTTTTTTAACTCGGGCATAAGTATTATTTTTTGTACTGTTAGCCAAGTTTTTTTAAAAACATCCAATTCTGCAATGACCTGCAATCTTTGTTCAAGCAGTATTCTCAGCAAGCTCAAATGTTAACATCAAGAAAGAGTTGTAAGTCGTAATTTTGAAGTGTCCCACATGTGTGAGGTTGCACATGAAAGCTTCAGGCAGAGAATACAAATTTTAAAAGTAGAATTTATCAGTGTTGAAAACTGATTTTTTACAAGGTGCATATCTAATCAAAATAAAATACAAATGTGATACTATAAATAGTCATAACATTACCCAAGTGATAGAAATGTTAGTGGCATCATATGAAGTACCCTAAGTAGGAAGGGAAAAAATCCTTTCAAGGTTATTCTCATTTCATTATCTCCTATCAGTGTAACCATTAAAAATACATATGGAAATTAGTGTTTAAATAATGTTACAAAACTAATATATAGTTAATTAAAAATAGATTCTAATCCTGCAGATACTGATGACACACAATTCCAGGGAACATTGTGGCAATGATGATAACACAGTCTAAGACAAATATTACCAAATTAAAGTTGATCTGTCCAAGAGTTAAACTTCCTGTTGCTGCAACCTGTGTCTTTTCCAATACCCTTAATTCAGCTAATATCCTGAACAGTTTTTTTAGCATACTGCCTCAAATAAGAGTTCTAGAGTAGCCAGGTGTCACATTCTGAAGCCTGAAAATTATTTTGTCGTCAAAACATACTACCTTCAATTTCTCAGAACAGTCTGAAGCATTCTCATTAGATGAAGTTATTAACCACACATAGGAGAAAATGAAATGCCATACATAATACAACCAGTTAAATCCTGCTAATTTTCATAGGTAAAATCCCCAGATCGTTATTACATTTCTGGAGAGAGATTGATTGATTTCTTCTGAAATGTGTTTTATCTATGACTCTTCAGTTCTGAGGGATAGATTGCCTAGTTTCTCCATGTGGTTTTTATACCCTTTCTCAGTCAAAATACAGGTTGATTTGTTGTCATTTCAGTTGGGTTTTGAAATCTGCTTGACTTTTAATTGTTGAGCTGTACTTTATAATTCCAGCATCCTTCCATTAAAAAAAGTGTGCATGTAGATATTGTTCCAGTGGGATGTGAAAGTCAGTCAGGAATTCCCTGAAGTGTCATTCCCACATCTGTTCACCCAAATACATAGTCCCTTTGCATGGACCCTAAGTTGTGGGAGGTTTGTTTTTCCTTATTATCTTTTATAATCTGAAAGGTCTTCTAAAGGTGCATCAAAAGGATAGCAGTGTTCTAACCTTCATGTCCAATTTTCTTTCAAAATAAGTCTGCATTTACAACACTCTACTTTCACATTTTAACTGTTTCAAGCTGTGAATCTGAGGAAGCTTTATCTCTGACTTGAATCTGAGGAACTCATTTATTTTAGTATGCTCCCGCATGAATATTGCTATATATATTAGTTATTTTGCTATCTGTTAATTGGAGATTACTTGCAACTTAAATCCAGTCTTTTGGATGCATGTAAGAAACTTAATCTTTATATTCATGATCTGCATCTTATGAGGCAAAGGTATTTTTGTTATATTCCATCTATATGTATGTGTTCCTCCTTATTTTTCTTTATAAGCAGTCCAAGTTATGGCTGTTAATAAATAATACTTCCAAGAAGAGGATTTAGAGGTGACAGTAGTGGGGAACTGCAAACATTTGTACCACTTGGTTACTGTCATTGAAGAAGATGTTTTCATTAGTTTAATTAGGAGTAAGTTCAGATAAGAAAGTGTCAAATACTTTTTTTCTGAAAATATGCATAATTGGTTACAAAAGGGAAAACTGCCTCTTGAATTCAGAGGATAGTATGGTTTTTTCAAACTGCTGGATGGCTAGCAGAAAGAATCATCGATTCCTTGGTGATGATGAATTTTAAATGTGAAGAAGAATCCAGTAGATTTCTTTGCTACAGATCTTAAATGATCAGTTTTAGAGATAGTAATGTTATGATATTCATCCCATCCCACTGCTATAATTTTTGATCTTACAAAATACTGAGAAAGCTCAGTCCACTGAACTTGTGTTTGGAGAGCTTGTACAGCATTTCTAGAAGGCTCTGAACACGTATACTCTTCTGATTTAAATTTTCTTACTTCATCTTTGAAAGAGACACTACATGCATTCAAATGTTTTGTTCTCCAAACTTTATCTTTCCCTGATTTCAAAATAAGAGTGTTTCCCTATATTCTGGTCTCCTGATGTCAATATAGCAAATATATGCTATAGGCAATGGTGTTGTCTTTGCTGAAGAAAAGATTTAAAGGTTACATTTCAGCACTGCAGTATAACATTTTCTCAAAAATATCTTGGAGAATTTAAAGAGAAAAGTAATTACAATAAAGCAGGTACTACCTCAAATCTCGGCAGACACTAGATAGACCTTTTCCATGAAAATAACTACAGCTTTTACTGTGACAGAAGTACCACATACTTGAATGTGAATTTTTGAGACAGTGTCTATTTTTCAGAAAAATAATCATTTTTATATATTGTTGTCATAACTTTGAACTGGCGATATCCCATAATATTAGTTTTATAATAAAATAGACAATCTATCAAAATTGGGAATGGATTAAAGGTTGAGTGGGCAAGGAGAACATTACTACAACAAATGTAATGATAAAACATTCCAGACAAATCAGAAATATTAAGCTGACTTTTACTCAGATAGGTTCGCAGCGGTCAGAAAAAGTCCTTAATTTTACTCATGGTATTTTGATTAGAACTTGATTATGATTCGGTCCAGTGTAAATACATAAATAGTAGGGGGAATGCAGACATAGGATGGTTGTGTGTTTACTCCTGGCATTAGAAATTTGGGCACAGGCAGGAACAAGCCTGTGAGTCAGAGTGCTTCCTCCCTCCTTACAGGACAATGGGTACAGTAAGGTCCAGCTGAACACTGTGTAGACAATGATGGTGCTAACAAAAGAATAGCTTGTTTGGACATGAAGCAGAATCCTGGGCCTGGATAGTCCAGCAGTGTCCAGCTACCATTTTGAGAAACTTGACCTTTTAGAGAAGCCAGACCTGATTGACGGTCTCTGTTTTCCTCAAAACTAGTTACTAAATATGTTCTGGTTATTCCTTAGTTTATTCATTCATTTGAATAGAAATGCTTGTCATTGACCACCACACCCAGGTTTTTACAATATGTACAGCAATATTTGAATAAAGGAGATGTGGAAATCAGAATCCTTTGTGACTCCTGCTCATAGAACTAACTTTTCTAGTTTTGAAAAATCGTAAGTTAATTGTAAGAGGATTCTTTATTTCTCTGCCAGAGAATAAATCGTGTTCAGTACTGTTAGTCTTTTTTTTTTTTTTTGCTTCCTTTGTGCCTCTCCTGTGCTGTCTCCCAGCACTACTAATATCCTCCCAAAGGACAGATAGCAATGATCTTTTATTCAAGCCTAAGAGTTAGGGGAAGCTGTGTTAAGATCAGGCATTTCTGTAGGTTGGGTGAATGTGTGCTGGTATATGTGAGAGGGTGGGTGCTAATTGCCTATTACCCTTCTCTCCCCACTGGTTTTATTTTGCTTCTCTTATTGTTTTGAATTTTGGTTTTTGGAAAGAAGTTAACTTCCTTCCCATTCTAAGCTCTAGAGAATGATGTTTCTTTGTTGTTTCCAATTATCTGCATAAAACAAAAAAGCAGAACAAAGTGAATCACAGAGTGAAAATGAGTCCATTAACCTCATTTGCACTGTTGTAGATAAGGGACTTTTTTGAGGCATCTTAACCTTGCACCAAATCACCTAATAGTTGCCTAGTGCCCAGGGGAAATACTTGATTAGAGACATAATTTTGACTTGTTTCTATTTTACAGCATTTCTTTTTAATTGTGTCTACTTTCCATTTACTTTTCACTGGCTTAAGGACAGGGGAGTTCTTAGTATAAGTGATAAATCTTCATTGACAGCAAAGGTATGCAGTGAGCATCTGTCAATCCACTGTGTGCTGCTTTTTCTGACAAGCAAATATGAATGGATTATGCAGTAAGTTTCCTATGGGACACCAGTCTATGGCATATAGAAAGTCCTTCGTTTCTGTACGACTACAAAACGCACTCTGTGTGGACTGTTGTTTCTGGAGTAGAAATAATTTGTTTCTGAAAGTTCTGTTGGTCTAAAATCCCACAGAATTAGAGGTAGTGGAGGGAGGAGGTAAGTCGAGTGAAAGAGAAAAAAATATCTTCCTCTGTCTCATATGTGCTGGGCTCTTCTGTGTGTGAATCTTCTTTT